TTTTCAGTCGTTTGTTATGCAGTGACATGCAGTCAAATATTTCGCCAAACAGTCCTTAGGGATGCAGGGACACGCAGTCAGATATTTCGCCGAACAGATCTGCGCTCAAACAGTCATAAAGCTCTCGTGCTGCAGAAATGAGGAGGTCTGCTGAAGTTGTGCAGCTGTCGTGTTGTGAGGAGTTCTCGTCTTTAGTAAACTACGGCAGTTTGCGTTCACTAAACCAGTAAGAATTATTAATTAATCCATATGAAACGGCCCCTTAAAAGTCACGTCTCGCTTTCAGTTTCAGGCTTTGGCGCGTTTTGCACTCATACACAAACGTACCGTGCCAAAGCCCAAGTGAACCGCTCTCAGGCACACCTCTTCCAACCGGGCCAGGGCCGGCCAAGTGAACCGTGCTTGAGCCCGATTCAGCGCACTCACACTTCTCAAACGATCCGGGAAATGGGCCTGGGCACGGTACGGATGGCATAGTGTGAGTAGGCCCTAAGTGACTGAAATGTAACCCAAGAGAATACGGCCTTTTTCTAAATAAAAGAATTTGTACGATCCTTTATTTTAAAGCAGGAGTCACCAAACTTGTTCCTGGAGGGCCGGTGTCATGCAGATTTTGTTACAACCCTAAAGCCTGGTTTATACTAATGCATCAAGTGACCGGCGTAACCTACTGTGCATGCAACGCGCGTAGCTGTGCGTTTATACTTGCGTTTACTAGTGTTAATAAAATACTTTTTAGAAAGTAGTAAAAGATAAAGAAAGGATGAACCATTTAAAGACTCTGTTCAGCGCACATTGCATGCCTATACTGGAGGCTGGACCTTCTCATGGACCTGTCTCATATCGGTCATGCTATAGCAAAACTCCTCCGAACCATTGACAGGCCCAACACAATGGGTTTGATCACTGAAGTGAGCAGGACATGATCATTCCTGAGCATGTTAAACTCCTGTTTATTTCAAACATTATGCTGATGTTTTCCTCTATTCCTCCGCAGGAAAATGAAGTCGCCACAAAGAAGAAAAAGAAAAAGCAGGCCGCAGAGGAGATGGAGGTAAAAGAGGATGAGGAGGTCACAACAAACGGTGTTGAAGAAACGCCTGGTAAGAAGAAAAAGAAGAGGAAGATTGAGGCTGTGGAGGCCGAGCCTGAAGTCCAGGAGGAAGCAGATGAGACTCAGGTGGAGAAGAAAAAGAAAAAAAAGAAAAAGAAAGCCCAGGAGGATGAATAAACTCCTCTCTGTGTGGACTTCAGTATTGTACAGCTTTATTTTTAGTTTCGAGCGTTGGACTCTCATGGTCAAGCGTTTTAATGTGTATGAGCAAAGCGTTGAGAGCTGTCACCGGTTTGTTTCTTTTATACAAACTTGCTTTATATCCTGTCATTTTTCTTCAAAGCACCTTTCTGAAATGGACAGTTCATTTATGTGCCTTTCTGAAAATGACTGACTGCTCTGATTATTGGCTGAATCTCATTTCAAACGCCGCCATGCTTGTGCTCGATGAAATGGTTTGATTTATACATGGTAATGTCTCTGAGTTTTGGAGCAGATTGTAGTTACACATATTTTTGTACTTTAAATGCCGAATTTGAAATTTGCCAAGATGGTAAATGTGAACCGATACTGTGCATGTGTACGCCAGCTATTATACACATCAATGATTGACCTTTCAATAAATTAATAATCGATTCTGTAACCTAAACTGTGTTCATGTCAGTTAATGTAGCCTGTTTGTTACAAAATGGTTGTATATTAGCTAACGTTATTGCTAATGTAACATGAATAATATGTAGAGCTTTTATTATTGGATGACTTGTTTAATTTTTTAATGAATGCTTAGAAATGAAATGTAAAAGTGTAAGTTCACATACCCTGCCATACAGGTGTAGTTCACAGTCAGAATGCAGTTTTGCTTGTTGATGATTACCCAGGCCTTGTATAGCTCAGTCTTCTTTCCTTATCTTCGGCTAGGCAGAACCTTGGTTAGCAGTACATAGTGTTGAATCTGGTAATCATGGAACATTATTTCTAGCACATGACCACACAACAACATTGCTGGCATCCAAAGACTTGTAGACCTTCAGCTTCTTTCTTGTAAAAACACTTTGAGCTTCAATGAGATGGTAGATTTGGGGCTGGATACTTGGCCATTTCGTCAGATCCAATATTAATTGGGAAGGGCGCTATCGCAAATGGACCTGTCAGACAAGCGCCGCTCACTTTAACGTTAATTTTGCAGAATCACTGCTTATCACTAGGTGACGAGCTGTTATAAAACGCCTAAAGCATTATGTAAATAATATATATATATATATAATTCATAACTAATATAACTCATTTCTAAGACAACAAACTGTACCACATCGGATGTCGTTCCCATGCTGTAAATGCTAGCTCTCCAGTTTTGTTTACAAACCAGTAATTCGTCTATAGGGCACAGTTGTCATAAATGCAAAAAGGATTAGTGTTTTCTATCAACTGACTTGTTTTAGATTTCAAATGGTGAAATACACATTAGTTGTAGCAAAACATCCCTTTACAATTCATGAAATACACCACAGTTGTCTGTGTGAGGGCAATAATCATATTAAGCATTTGAATAATCAATACATATTGTGTGGATAATTTTGTGCTGTCATTACTTTTGCACAAGCGGGTCAGTTTAGGACTATGATCTGTTCTTACTGCAAATCTGATACTGGCCACATTTATAACCCCCATGTGAACAGCTATGCAGAAAAAAATCTGAGCACTAAGCCTTGCAGAGTAAACGCAAGTGCTGAAGAGTTTAACAAACACAATCACAGGCCTACTAGATATGTATATATACACTATTTGCTCAAGCACAGCTGAAATCAGTAAACAACAATAGAAACCACCAAAGGAACCCATATGAACACAGCCAAAACACTCACTTGCGAATGCACATATTTAACATTCATTTCAATGGTTTTCAAAGATATGTAACTTACATGCCGCCTTCTGTTTTTCAGCCAGTTTCTTGAACTTTGCTCCTTTATGAGGAAAAAAAACTTTGAAAATCAATAAAAGCTGTCCGGCATTTCTTATTTTGACCGATTTAAACAAGCACAAACAACATAAAACAGAAACATGTTGATGTTCGAATAGCGATTCCTATGTAGAACCACTTGCTGAATTTCGCACATCATCCCTCAGCTTTTCTAGTCGTCTCGGTCAAACATTGTCCTGTCCTAATAGTAGCACATCAAATAAAAGCTTAATTCAGCTTTTTAGGTGATGTCTAGATGAATTTAAATTTCCATAAAAAACTACACGTATGACTGGTTTTGCGGTCCAGGGTCAGTTATAAACACGACACAATTTTTCACCAAGTCTTAACACGTTTGCTGGTTGTTTAATAGGTTGCTCACTGCTGCCTAAACCGTGTTCAGTGTATTTAAGATTAAATGCTTTTAATTGTAGTTTAATTTCACACTAATGACACCGGCTATCCTTACCGGCCTGCATGATCTTTTGGTGTTATTCGCAGTCAGCAGGTACTTTCACATATTATTACTACAGAATCTATTTACATTGCTGTAATCATAAATACAAAAGTTTGTCGTTTGCACACATAGAATGTAACAAATACATTTAGTTTATTAGCTTCGGTTTTTTATAATCCTAAGATGCCAAATCATATATGCAGATTTACTGCATCTCGCATTATTATCTATGTTAAAGACTGTTGTGCTGCTTACTATTTTTGAGACAGCCTTTATCACACTGCGTCACTTCGAATGCATCCTTCGGAGGATGCAGCCTCTGAATTGAGACACATCTAATCATTCAAACAAGTTTACTGAAACCTCTCTACTTGATGCTTGGTCTTGTGTGTCCGCCATGTTTGTAGTTTGTTTAAACTTTTTGCCAAGGTTTATAGTTCTAGTCCACGGGTGACCAACCCTGTTCCTGGAGATCTACCTTCCTGCAGATTTCAGCTGCAACCCATATCAAACACACCTGCCTGTAATTATCAAGAGCTGTTCAGGTCCTAATTAATTGGCTCAGGTGTGTTTGATCAGGGTTGGATCTGAACTTTGCAGGAAGGTGGATCTCCAGGAACAGGATTGAGCACCCCTGGTCTAGTCAAATTCACGTCCAATGTGCAGTGTATTATAGGCATTATTAGCAGGGGTGGGCAAACTCGATCCTGGAGGGCCAGTGTCCTGCATAGTTTAGCTCCAACATTAATAAAACACACCTGAACATACTAATCAGTGTCTTCCAGATCACTAGAAATCTATTAGGTGTGTTTGATTAGAGTTGGAGCTAAACTCTGCAGGACACCAGCCCTCTAGGACCGAGTTTGCCCACCCCTGAGTTAAAGTATGGACGCTTCTACACTTCGAATTATTCCCGGAAATAGTAAACCATCTGGGAAACTTTGGCATACTCTTTTCAACATACTATGGTTTGGTACATACTAATTCTATTTTCGAATACTATTTGGGATGAAAAGTATGAGAAATAGGACGCAGTACAACCCCGCCGGTCCTATGCCACCCAACCCACTCTGAGCTGGTATCGAACCTGCGACCTTCCGCAAGGGAGTTGGTTGCTCTACCAAGGAGGCTAAAGAACATGGCCTCTAGCATCAGCCGCTAGAACACCTTTAAGAGGTCAGAGGAGTGAGGTTTCTACCTGCACAGCACTTACTAGCTGGCCTCCGTTACACTCATGCCCCTAAACCTCACTCCCATCCAGGTCACGGCACCAATGTAACCTCACTGGTCCTACGCCACCCAACCCGCTCCCAGCTAATATCAAACTGGCGACCTTCCGAAAGGGAGTCGGTTGCTCTACCAAGGAGGCTAGTCTTTAGCCTCTGTTGCTAGAGCACCTTTTAGAGGTCAGAGGAGTGAGGTTTTTACCTGCACAACACTTACAAGCTGGCGTCCGTTACAGCAGCAGCACTAATTATAGTATGTCTTCATAACTGTTTGTGTGGAAAAGAAGAATCCGAACTGAAACCAAGTAAACTGGACAGTTTTATTTTGACAACAAGGGTAAAACCAATGTTAAAATGAAATCTGATCTAAAATGCTACCGTTTAGCCAATTTGGTGGTTCGGGGTTGGGGGTTGTCACAAATGAAGGGCAGAGGGAACCAAAATTAAGCACTGAAATTAAAACCCCCTCGATAGAAAAAAGTTCACGGGTGAAGGGGGGGAAATGGGAGAGGAGCAAAATACAAAAGTTAAAAAAAAGGCTTCACCATCGAGTGATCAAGCTTAGCAGTAATGTACATACATTATCAGGGTTATGTATACAAATAAAAACTCCCATGTGTGAATCACGATGCCTTCTCTGCTTCAAGTATATCCACCCTTCAGTTGTGTTCTCATCACTTCTCTATGTCATCATATCCTCTTAGCCAGTTAGCGATGAAAAATAAAACAAAAGAAACCATCCTTCAAAAACCAAAATGCAGAAAAACCACATTTCATATCCTACCAATACATATATACTGTATAAATACATACATAAATATACTTTACATACAACAGCCAAAACTTTGAAAAGGGGAGATGAGAACGTGGGAGGAGGATGAAGATGATGGTAGTGTGTTGGGGCGTCCCTCTGCTCTCGTGGCGCTCAGTTGCCCCAGTAAGGAGAGCTGCCATAGTTGGACTTGTTGACCTGGGTCTTCTGCTGCATGGTGCTGGACTGGCTCCTCTGGCTTGGCCCTCCCTGTTCAACAAACAGCAGACAGTTTAAGAGGGTGAACGGTGGATAACATATGCACTTGTATTCAGACCTATTGTGTCTTAATATTTCAGGACTAGAAAAGTATTTCTAAAAAAAATGTTTTTTGTAAATAGGCTTATTTTACAAGTCACCTATGGCCCGTTTTCACTGAGTGGTACAGTAAGGTACGGGTCACCTTTATCAGGCTTCCGTTTCCAGTGTTAAAAGGGTACCCTTTTTATTGTCGACGTCATTCTCGTTCGAGGAAATGTCAACGTAAAGCTTGTTAAATAAATGCAACGTATATGAACACATACAGACTCTTACAGTCTCCGATAAGTTACCAATTACATATAAACTACACACAGCATACATTTAGTCCTTATTTGGGTTCAAAAACAACACGCAACATATGGCCCACAGTCGGTGCAAACCTCTCATCTGTCTGTTTAATCTTCACCAGCACATGTAAACTCTGTTAGAGAGTAATTCTGTCATTCAGAGTTCATAATAGTCCAAAAGGTGATGATAATAGTTAAGCATTACAGTTTGTTCATGCGTACTAAAACTATCCTTTTCTCCTTTGTTTTTTCTGGCTAATCCTTTGTTTTTTCACGCGTCAGGCTCGTTTGTCCATTTCTGAAAGGATCGGATGTCAGAAACACTTCAATAATCACGCGGACATTATTATTATCAGCTCAAGAAGTTTGTTATTTCACGCGGCTCGTGCATGTGAGAAAATTAAATCGCTGAAGCTTTAGACGGCCTTGTAAAAAACCACAAGGTCAATTATGCTCTTTTTCTTGGCTTTGGGGCTGTTCATCAAGACTACGACAAGGTTTGTTTGAGCTTGGGTCGACCATGGCTCGTTATTACATGTATATATTATTGCAGTGTAATGTCTGGGCTGTGTATTTAAAAATGGCGCTTCCTTTGTTTTCATTCTCCTGGTTTGTTGCACAAGCGAGTGACGCATCTCTGTAAACCAATAGCGTTGAGTTGCACGTCTTGCTCCGCCTTTTGGTACCCTTTTGTAGTGCTAGGTACTTTTTTGCAAAGGGTACCAAAAAAAAAGTGGTACTGTACGGTTTGCTTTTAGGTACCTTTTGACAGCCATAACAGCGTACCAAAACAGCCATAAAAGCGTATTGAACCGTACCGTACCACTAGAGTTTAACAGTTCAATTTCACATTTTTTTAGTCTATTTAGCCAATATCCGGGTCCGTCAGGAGGACTTTTAGCTTAGCATAAATTGTTAAAGCTCAATTTTAAGGATTTCACTTAATTTTGTTTACTCTTCTGTACACAATGTTATGCACTAAGACCGACAGAAAATGGATATTTTCTAGGTCAATATGGCTAGGAACTATAGTCTCATTTTGGCGCAATAATCAAGGAACTCTGCTGCAGTGTGATGATTTTATGTGGCGCAGTTACCTAGTTACTTAATTGAGGACTATTTTTGAGAAAATTATCAAAACTAATTTTGAAATTTAACTGAAATGCTCTTAGTCATGGGACAATAACCGATATCAAGGTTTACGGCAGTTTGAAAAGTCAAGGTTTATCAAAAAAATAAATAAATAATTCACGTTATCAATTTTTTTAAGCGTTATCAAAGAACATATTTATTTATTTAGGGCAACAGTCTCTCCAGCAAATGATAACAAAAAAAGATAATGATTTTACAAAATAAATAAATATATAAATAAGTGCATCCAGAAGGTTTTGGCCCAGAATATTTGATGCATTCCTAATGCTAAGCTAAGCTAAGCGTGCTAAACTGTTAAACTCTAGGTGAGATGTTAAATGAGCCTGTCCCCTATAATGTTTAATGAATATTTAATCTGTTGTATATTCTATATGTATATCTCAATATAATCTAGCATACTGCAGGCTTAATAGGCTTACGAGCAGCACTGGCACTGACCTGTCCGTCCTGGGTGAGGTGATGGTGGAGCAGCTGAGAGTGGGGCTGCTGGTGAGCAGGCAGAATGTGAAGGAATGGAGCAGGAGCATAACCTGGGGCAGCTCCAGGGGTCAAAGGTCCTGTGCCACCAAGAGCAGACGGGAGGTTGAAAGGTGGAGGTGTGCCAGCATGGAAACCCTGCTTCTCGAACGGCTGCAAAAGGGGAAAAAAATAATTAATTGATTGATTAAACAAATTAAAGTTTAGATTTTATTTGGCTGTATCTTTGTATATACACAAATCTAGATGAACGTATTGATTTATTAAGAATTGGGCTCTAAAGCTTGAAAATTGGTCATATTTTTTTGGATGTGCTATTATTATTATTGTTGTTGTGTTAAATAAGTAATATATAAGCATTATATGTTATAATTAGAATTGATATTTAATACTGCACTAATATAATATAAATCAAAAATTTGTAAAAATAAATAAATAAATAAAGCAATATAAATTATGATGAAAATAAAAACAGAATAAACTTAAAGCAAACATAAAACACATTTTTAAAAAAGTCAACAACGACAATAGAAAAATACGGAGATGAACATTTTTGGTGAAAATCAAGTTTCTTTAAATTTTATAAGTTGTGTTTAAGTAAATGCTAACATTTGTCATACTCTACACAGGTCCTGACACACATGCAATAGTATTTGTAGATTTCTTGTGGATCGTGTGTTTCATCACTTATTATGGTCTTTATATATTATGGCTTTTAGAAGAAATCTTCCATGTGCAGATGTCAAAGAAAAAGTACCTGTGTTTTATTGTAAACAGTTCCACTGATGTCTGGCACCCCAGAATTGCTAGATGTCACAGAGACACCTGGTACACAAAATGATGAACAATTCATTTCAATTTTATCATAAGTGAGAGGGAAAACTAGTACATAAACACAGAATGTAAGTATACCAGGTATTCTCATGTCTGTACCTTTCCCTGGGCCAGAGGCAGCAGATTTGGCCTGTGTTTGAGAGGAGTTACTATAGCCTTTGCTGTAATCGGATCCTGCTGGGCCTTGCGTCAGGTCATCATACCCTAAAAATTTAATGAAAAATTAAAAATGTGAATACTCAGCTGCACACAGCACTAATGAGAGTGTACATGTATAATATGCACTAATATATATGACTAAACATTCAGATAATTAATCTGTAATAAGTGTTATAAAAACAAACTATTCAAAGTTGATTTATTTGCTGAAGAGAATCCTTGATAAATACTTTGAAAAACTAAAAAATAAAACTCAAAAGATGTACCAGAGCAAACTGAGAAGAGTGAATTTCCTCTAAATCTTTCATGTTTTAAGCTAAAACTGCAATGAATATAATGCATAAGCTTGTTGTGAATAAAGCTTGACAACGACGTTAAGAAAAATGATCAAAACTTTTTTTTTTAAATTAAAACCATCCTTCCCATTAAACCGATTTAAAATAACCAAATATTACAACATTCATGGGGGGGGGTTGGGCTTAAATGGATGGTTTACCCAAAAATGTAAATAACTTCACCATTTGCTCTCCCTCAATGGCTCCAAACATTGAGTTTTCTTTTTAATGTTGAACAAAAAGAGATATTTTGATAAATGATTTATATAGAGAAATATAATGGAAGTCAATGGTCACTGGTCTCCAATATTTTTCAAAATATCTTTTATTGTGTTCAACAACAACAACAAAAAGACACTCAAAACTGGTTTGGAACAAGTAAAATTTGTGTAAATGATGACAGAATTTTAGATTTTGGGTGAACGATCTCTTTAATTAGTTTAGAAGTTAATTGTCATTGACTGGTTGGCATTTTTAAAATCTCATTCTACATGCAGATGATACAAAGTGCATTCATATATTCAGATAGAAAAGCCAAACCAGAACACACACCTGAGCTGAAGGCATGCTGGCCGTAGCCACTGGGCTGCTGGAATGGCGTTGTGGGGTTGCTGAGTCCCATGCCATGCTGTTTGGCCGAGGCAGGGGGGACAAACATGGTGGGTCCGTACTGGAATGCACTGGGCACGCCGGGCACCCCAGGGTAGTAGGGCAGGCCCGTGTAGCTATATCCGGGGGGCAGAGCTGGGTTGAGGAAGGGCTGTTGAGTGTTGTGGTGGCCCTGCGGCTGAGGCTGGTTCTGGCCTTGGCTCTGTGCCTGCGGAGGCTGTGCTGTCTGTGGGGCGTGAGCTGCAGACAGGCTGCTAGAGGGCGCTGGTGAGGTGGATTCTCCTCGGCCAAACTTTGTGACATCACCTGGGTGGATTTATTAAAAGGTTATTTTCCGTTTTTGTGTACACTAATGTCATGTACATTGTTATGAATCAGAGTTTACAGAGCAATAATAAAAAAATAATTGCAGGGCAGTGTAGTACCTGAGTAAGGGTTGCTGGCGAGGCTCCCATCTCTGCCAGACAGCGGAGCGGTGGGCCCTGGGAATGTGATTCCATAGTAATCCTACAGGATCATAACAATTATGCAGAGTGAACATTCGGCCAGGCTATTGTTGTCTATTAATGTCATGCAAAGAAATTGTTGTTGAAATTCATTTTTATTTTTTATTCCATGAACTACTGATGACATTTCTTCACAATTTAAAATAGAGTAAAGATCTTTATAAAACTAAAAAAGGTGCTATGTTTTCAGCCATGTTTATATTTATTTCAACACGGTATAATTCAGAATAGTTCATTATTTGGTGGAATAACCCCATTAATAAATTACAACCATTAAAGCATTTGTTTTTCTGGCCAACTGTCACGTTCTGAAAACAAAACAAAACAAATTTTAAAAATATATATATTTTGTAAATTTAATTTTGATTTAAAAATTGGTAGAAAACTGTTCAGAACCTTATAAAATAAGACAAATATAAACATTTTACTCAAAGCAATAAACAAGACAATATAACTGAAGTTGAAAAGAAAGCATTAAGCCCAGCATCGGCTCTAAATGGGAATTTGATGGGTTTAGTCTTACCATTGGTAGTCTGGATTGTAGCATGTGGAGGTCCTCGTAGCCATAAATCTGCTGTACAACACAGGAACTTTCAGCATTTTACAGAGTAATTCAATTGAGATTTATTTCAAAGAATCAGAGCTTGTATAGTAAACACATCAAATAAACTCTCTGAAAGTCACGAGTTATTACTCGTGCAATGACACACACTATAATGCATCACTGCATAAAAGCAACACCATTAAGTTCGGCCAACCCAAAACAAACACTGGCACACAGAAATCCTGAAATTCCACATTCAGAAGGCTGAAAGCGGATCTGCATTAAGAGGATGAGGGTTCTTACCGGGTAGGCAGGCAGCAGACCTCCGGGTCCCATGATGTACTGGTTAGGCAGCAGTGGAGGAACCCCCTGAGAGAGATTAGGAGGAGCTTTACCTGCACACATGCAGACAAGAGATGTTAGAGAATGAGTGAACGGTTGAAAAGAATCAAACTGAGAATAAACAGTGATTTCCCATTTAACTAAAACAAAGAGTGTGCTAAACACTACTGGGCGTTGCGGCACAGCACAGCCTTGATTTCGACTTATTTTGGTAGTTTTTCCTCTTTCTACCAAATACTGAAAATGCCATTTTTGACCAAAAGAGAAAAACTTCAAAAAAGGTATGCGTGGAATAAAACAATTCACATTTGAAAACTACAAGGTGGTCAGCATGACTGCAATACTTTGACTTTCAAAACTACAAAAGAAAAATTTGTAAAAAATCTTTTATTATAAAATATTTTTATTAACTAACCAATAGTGAGTAACAGTACAGGGGTCCGTTCTTCGTACGTGGATTACTCAGTTAGCTGGATTTGGATATTGACGATTTGACACGATCCAGGATCGTTTCGTTCTTCAAAGCTAATCCGAGAGTTGTTGTCATAGCAACAGTTCTGCTAGGTCAAACATGATCGGGAGCAGGTTCAAGTCATATAAACAGGATTAGATCGGCTTAGTTCAAGCAAAGATAATACAGAAAGTATGTTCCGAATTCTGATATTTTCTTACAGTAGTAGTTATATACACTTGGGAAAATGGTAAATTTTTTTAAACTATATATATATAAAAGTTATAGTCATTAATAAAATAAATTAAGTTATACATATTAATAAAACGTATGCAATCTGCACCCTCGAAATGAAAGTACAAAGATTGCCACCTGGTGGTGCAAAGAGAAAACTTATTGATATGAACTTTTTAGATCGCTTTAGTACAAATTGTGTATAATAGAAATGCACAATATGTGACTTTTTTAAAAGCAATAATACATTTATGCAGTCATAAACATGTTTTGATAGTTAATATGCCGGTGATTTGATGCTTCACAAAAGTTGCAGACACCTTTACCAATATGAAAATGCTTTTGTAAACAACCAGTTATTCTTTACACCGATTAAAAAACGGCTACTATAATAAAGAAAATATTTTCTAAATGTAGAACTAAATACATTGATTTGCACTGAAATACATGATGAATACACTTGACACATGAACGTGGAAAGCCTGCAGCTCACAACAAATGTGGAAAGTTCTTGCGTGTCATATTTAACAAGCCGTTTACTGCTAATTTGATGTAATTTTGCTCACATGGATAATTGAATATTAATCAGATGATGTCATTACGCTGCTGTGCCGTCAGCCAATCGTTGCATTGCTGATCATGATTTCGAGGATCGATAGATCTGTCCTTCACAACACAAGCAGCGATCTCAGATCAGTTTATCCAGACATTCTAATCTGATTCGCGAACTCGTTTGAAGAACCAAATTAGCGAGAGATCAGTTATCAAGATTAAAAGATCCGGGATCTGCCAAATAATCTTAGATAATTTAAGCGAGGTACGAAGAACGGACCCCTGAATCCTTCGCAAGTACATCGAATACACAAACAAACAAAAAATAACATTGTATTTAAAAATTTCTAAACTTACAAAACTGTTACATTTAAAAACAGTTGAAAACATAGTTAAAAACATCTGACCTTTTGCGAATGCCCCAAGCACCCCGTGCTTCATGCAAGTAGAACTAAAGAACTCAAGTAGCGCAAAACCCATAATAAATGGTCAAGGAATCCACCCACTTGTCTATTCAGGTCAGAATAATGAGTGCGGTATAGCAGCAGTGAGGAGATTGTAAGTAAAAAAAAAAAAGGATGTCGCTAGAGTGGCTTTTTGGTTTCTTTTCTTGTGCATCCCAGCCACTAGCTTCCCATCTGATTTTTTAGCATAGGGGGCAATACAGTCATTCAATTTCCCAATTTGTAATGTTGCATAAAATTATAAATGTTCTTAAAAAAAAGGTATCTATGGTAAATGATACTGAAAGTATAAGTAAAAACAAGACCTTTTAAAAGTACTCAAGAGTAGTGAGTTTTACACTGTAAAAAACTGATGTTTATATGTAATTTGTGGATGTGTGTAAACGTAATATTCTGTACTGCATTTACTTATTACCCAGTTGGACACTAACATCGGCCTGATGTTGAGTTTTGATGTCAAACCAATTTTTATTTCTAAAAAAAAAAATGCAACGTCCCCACAACGTTAAGGTACAATGTCAATCTGACGTCATGTTGATGTCCTGTGGCAGCTGGGGGTTTAAGACCATTTCACTCATCATACAGTAAACATCCGTCATCTTCTCATCAGTGACATGCAACAGTCTCTGGGTCAATGTGTGTAAAGATTTTGAACATCTACTAGGACACTTTTAATGCTTCCAAACAGTTTGCTGCAATTATAAATCGTCCATGTCTTGAGGTAGTTCATTATGATGCGATTTACCTTCTATGTGCGATTTGATTGGACAGGAATCACAGGACTGATTTTTCTAATCCCCACAGACAAGAAAAAATAAAGAAGTGACTGCAGGTTGAAGGAAAGTAGTAAGAGTAAAAGTACAGATACAGCACTAAAAAAGTATTTAAGGGAAAAGTAAAAGTACACATTTTAATAACTACTTAGTAAATTACAATTCCTGAGAAAAAACACTCAATTACAGTAGTTTGAGTATTTGTAATTTATTACTTTCAACCACTGACTATATCATTATTATTCACACCTTAAAGTCTGCTTTTATTGTTTAGTATTTACGCTTTACCACTGCGCACACTTTGTGTGTAACATTGTATTTATCAAGTTTTAGAATCTCTCATGTTTATTTTATTATAAAGAGATCAGATCATATTTTGTTTAAGTATTTTTGTTTTTGATTATTAAAACTTTTTGCCTTAGTAATGTTGGTAAATTAAAATAAAGTGGTTAAAAAAATCCTAATATTTTAAAATGTATTATTAAAAAAATATTCAATAATTATCGTTTTTGAAAATATTCAATAATTATCGTTATCGAATGATATCGCAACATATAAATGGCAAAATGACAAAATATTGCAACGTTAAATTTTGCAATATAATCATGCAGCCCTATTATGATAAAGGGATGTGCTCTCTCACCGCTGGAAGAAGACAGTAGCTGGGCCGTCCTGACAGCAGAAGGCGTGCTACCGTTGGGGCCATGACCCAAAACTCCAGGCCCATGCAGACTGTTCCCACCGCTCACTGAGTTGTTCATGCTACTGCTGGCCAGAGCAGACACTGGCGGGGAGGAAAACGCCATGGACGAGGGGGCGAGAGAGTTGACGCTGTCCACACTGGTATACTGCGCACACAAATACACGAGGCGTTACAGACGGCGGAGGTGGTGAGGAAAACAAGTGTGTGTCCCTCCTACAGAACTCACTGTATGTGAAGATGTGGTGCAAAGTGCCGACACAGAGGGATGGCCACTGCTCACATGACTACAGGGGGAAAAACAGGTACAGGTCACACTTTTAGAAAACACCAAATCAAATATATATAAATCTTAGACATATTCACAAAACATTTTTATCTTACCACTATGAGTTAAACTAATGCTGATTTCAGACTGCATGATTTTAAAGTAGTCGCGTCACGGATGCTTTAACACTGCATGACTTTCTGGGGTAGCGTTCTGTCACTGATGTGTTTACGGCGAAGGGGTTGTGGAGCGGTGACAGGGGGTTTCACACTGCATGACTTTAAGAATCGCCGACAACGTTTTCTTGGTCCACGAACTACATCTCACATCCAGACACACGCGAGAAGTGACGTGGAAATAACGCACGGTCACATAGTATATCTTTTATTATTAAATACATAATGAGAAGGAAGCCTTTAGGGGCGAGAAAATGTACTTAATATGCTCACCTGTCTTCTGAAGGGAATTAGCAATTTCTGTCAAACTGATTTCTTTTTGGATCCATTTGTGGTATTGCTTAGATGACACGTCAAAAAGACACAGATGCTTCTGCCAAATTTACACTAGTTTTTCCTCCATTTCATGGGCCCAAAAAGACCAAAAATAAGTACAACCTCCTGCTGGCCTGCACATACCGTAGTGGATGCTGCTCTCTCATCCCAAATATCTCACGGGTGCCAGCGACTCTTCTGCGATTCTCTCAGATCGTGTCTCTGATAGTTCATGCTGTGTGACTGTTACTCACATGAATGAGCACCGATTTGCCTGTGATTTCAGGCATTTGTCTACAATTTCTCAAAACCTATCAGCGAGTCAAAATCAGGGCTAAAATCATGCAGTCTCAACTCGGCATGAGAGTAAGGGTGTGGTCGGCTGCATTGCAATGTATGATCTCCAAGCCTGATTATTAACTACATACACAGTAATTGGTTAATAGAGGAGGGGTCTCTTTCAGAGATTTATCCATAGAAATATTAAGAAATAAACATTTTGCCAGATTTAAAGTCCTGTAAAATAAAAAAAAAATAATGGAAAAAAAAAAAAAAAATATATATATATATATATATATATATATATATATATATATATATATACACACACATACACACACACACATATATATAAATATATATATATATATATATATATATATATATATATATATATATATATATATATAAGTTTTAAGTATTAGTTTGTCAGTTTTAAGGAGCTAGTGTGCTCCAAAACAGTGTCAAAATTTGCGTTTAGTATATAAAACTACTATAAACGACCAAAGCTTTAAAGATTTTAATATGCTAAATTTCTGTAATCAAACAAGTAAAGTACAGCTAAAAGGGTGGCACAGTGGGTAGCGCTGTCACCTCACAGCAAGAAGGTCACTAGTTCGAGCCTTAGCCGGGTCAGTTGGCATTTCTGTGTGGAGTTTGCATGTTCTTCCCATTTTGGTGTGGGTTTCCTTCGGGTGCTCTGATTTCCCCACAGTCCAAAGACATGCGCTATAGGTGAATTGGGTAAGCTAAATTGTCCATAGTGACAGTGTATGGGTGTTTTCCAGTGATAGGTTGCTGCTGCAAGGGCATCCTTAACTAGTAAGTTAGCGGTTCATTTCGCTGCGGTGACCCCTGATTAATAAAGGGACTAAGCTGAAAAGAAAAATGAATGAATAAAATGTTCAGCTAAATGTCAGCCTCTTATATGTGTGCTTCATGTAAGCAGCTGCTGAATATGAATATAAACAGCCTTTTAATAACAGAGTAGATTAATCATGGCTAGTACTAAGAAATGCAAAGGTGGTTTCTCTTTGTTAGTGAAGTGATGCATCCATGACTAATTCTACATAATACCCCCTCTACAAAAGGTGATACCTTTGGAAAAGCTATTTGTAGTCAAATGTTTCCAAATTGCTTGCATCTCAAGGATCTTCTTCAATACTGTTGATGTTTCACATATTTATGTGCACGTTTTTCAAGCTAAAGCGCTTCTTCAAAAACTCTTAAAGGGTCACGAAACACCAAAACCCATTTTTTGAGCTGTTGACAGTCGTATATGTGTCCCACACTGCTAAAAACACTATTAGGACACCTATATTTCACTAAAAAGTGTAAATTGGTTGTTTTTGCGTTATTTCAAGCAAATTTGTACTTCCTGTTTGAAACGAATTTTTGAAGCTGCGTCACGGTCATGACATAATAGCGTGTATTCCAGAGTACAGACTGGGCGTCTGTGCCAGAGTGAGTCTTATTACGTCTTACAGTGTGATGCATTAATGCATGAGTAAGGCTTGGTTCAAACCAATCAGCGCGCTCTATTGTGCAACTTCATTAATATTCATTAGTGTCACCGTGTTTACACCACAAAGACGCCACGTTGTGTTGGCAAAACAAGCGTGGAGTGTTGCTTTTATAGTTTGCTGCCGTTAAGTTTCGTTTTCATTTTCTCTCTGTGAGAGCTTATCTGGATCACGTGTGGATTAACAGTGTACGCGACGCTCGACAACAATAACTTACGTGTCTAAGGAGGATTATTGTTTACCTAAGAGCTGTTCTCATCTGCAAACGCTGAAATCTGGATTCGCTGTGAGCGACCAGTGCTCTTTGTTTATTCAGTTTGTTCGTATCTAATTAAGTTAACTATTGCACTGAGTGCAGAAATGTTAGCACCGCATTTTGTGACCGGAATAACACACGCGGCTTTCTGATGCTACCTGCCGTGTGCATCTAAGTTTCCGGGAAATGCAGTTTTTTTTTCTCTCATTCGCCGTGCGGTATCAAACATTGCATGAAAAATACACGCTTAGAGCAGTTCCTCGAATCAAATATCTCGTTTGTTGCGAGGGGCATGAATGAATTCCCTGAATGAAAGAGCCAAACTGTAGTTAAAGTCCACCATTTAATAATTTGGCAAATAATTCGACTACAGATGTCTATGTAGGTTAAACACCATCACTTTCTCCTGTCTGTGTATTTTGACTCTGAAACTCGCGCGTGCCCAAATAGACACTCCTACACCCTCCCACTTTAGTTCCTCCGACACTCCCCCCTAAACAGAGCTGGACACGCCCACTTTTCTGACTTTTTCCAAAGTAGAGGTGTGAAAACACCCTGCTGAAACGAGGGAGTTTCATGGCCCTTTAAAGCAAAAATTTGTCCCAAATTTATGTCTGACTCCCATTACTTTTAAGAGTTGCACAGGATAGTTAATTTTTTTACCTCATTATTTTCTAAATATCTCATTCTGTGTTCAACCGAAAAAAGAAACTCAAATAGGTTTTAAACAATTGTAGGCTGAGCTAATGATAGCAGATTTTGTATTTTTGGATGAACTGTTCCTTTAAATTAACAATGAGTAGCCTTAAGATGCTTTGAGAATATAAGCCCTGTAGTAGTACACAAAAGTACCTGCTGAGCGGAGGTAAACTGGCGGAGGACAGCTCAGATGCCAGGCTGGGCAAAGCAGAGCTGTGTGGTGTAACAGAAGAGGGCAGCAGCGAGGATGGGGCAGATGGAGCAACACTTGTGTTGCTAACCAGAGAGGGGGACTCTTGTTTTGGAGTGGAGGAACTCGATGTGGCTGATGGAGAAGACATATGCATCATATACTGCACAAATAAAGCAGGTAAAGTCCATAAACGTAATTCACAAAAAGGAAGTTAAATGAGTTTGACTTACTGTCTAAAGCAGCAGAGGTCCTCGCACCATTGAAACCGTTCTGTCAGAGATGCAAGCAAAGTGCATTGAATCAATTACAGTAGTTGATTGACGAAACATCATAAAAGCTTGTACACTACCATTATTTAAAATAGCAAATTTTAATGCATTTAAAAATTAAGTTTCCTTCTGTGATGGCGAGCTGAATTTTAATTGCCAGTTTCATTTTCAAATATATATATATATATATATATATATATATATATATATATATATAGCAAGTGTAATAAAAGCAGATGTAATAATATAATATTGTGTATTAGCATTACACAACAATTTCAATTCACATGAAATGTAGAGTGTTGACTTTCACATTGCACATCCATCAATGTGACTATTGCAGATTCACATATTGGGAAATGGATGCTAAACGATATATTTTGCAGCCCTAGTTTATAGGGTTATATCTGCAAAAATGTAACAATTTTATAATTTACACTACTGTAATAAAGTAATATAAAGTGAAAATAAATGAGTGAAAATAATAAAAAGTGAAAAATAAACCATTACAATGAAAGTTTATGAACATCAGGGGCCTCATGTATCAACGCTGCATACGCACACAAACTTTGCGTACGCCAGGTTTCACGTTTGGATTTATTAACGATGAACTGAACGTGGGAATGTGCGCAGCTCCACGGCAGCTTTATGGCTGGTGTACGCACATTTTTTGTGCGTGTCTGTTTTATTTCCATTGGCGACTCTTAGGGACAGTTGTGTTAAATTGCTCTCTACAAAGTGTCTGAGCCTTGCAATGGCAGCTGTATGAGACAGGTTCATCTAGCAGGTATATAAGGTTTCCATACCATACAGTTGACCAGCCAAACATTGCGCAAATTGCAGCGGTCGCCTGTTTTCCCAATGTAATCTGAGCAATCTACTGCACGCACATTGCTATAAAGGCACCATCTGAAGATGAATTTGCATGCGTGAATCAGAAACTTTTCCATTCAATAAATGTGCAAATAAAATATGACGCACAGACTTATTAATGATTCCTACTTGTCTTTCTACTTGCCAAAGTAGAGTCATTAGCATATTCATACGGGGGATGAGGCAGGGAGGGGTTTTGTGCTCGTGCATGTTGCGCTCAGTTTCACGTTCATTCGGATGTACAAAAGAATATGCGTGAGATTCGGCGTACGCAGTGTTTCATACATCTGAATTTTTTTCTGCGTACGCACATTTACAGCTTTGTGCGTACGCAATGTTTTAGTATGATTTCCACGCAAGTCTTCGTACATGAGGACCCAGGTGTTTTTAAGACCTGTTTAAATATTTTAAAGAAGTTTAAAGCATTTGGGCTTTATATTTGTAGCTTTAACAAAGATTAATAACATTTAATTATTAATATAATAAGACTATACAGCTTTATTGTACATTTGATTAGTTTGTTTTTGTTAGTAAATACTGTTAGACTGCTTCATTTGTATATTTGCTCTACTGCATTCATCTATGCTTGATTTTATGAAGATGCACTCCCCCACAAAATCATCCCAATTAATGGAAAGTTATTCTATTTTCACCAATAGAGCTATTCAAGTTATCTTGTGAAATATCGCAATATAATATAGCAATGTACGTTTTTTTCCCCCTAATGTCATGCAGCCCTACTATAAACAGAATTTTCAAGTGTTGATTTTCATCGCTTTATAGCTATAACATCTTAAATTGCACCCACTGTCACAGGTCCAGAAGGCTCCTTGCTCTGTGAAAAGGTCAGTCTTGAGTGAGGAGCCACACCGCAGTCAAAGCTGTTCCCCGCCGATGATGCAGCGGACGAGGAAGAGGAGGAAGAGGAGGACGAGGGAGCTGTGGCCGAGCTGGGGGTGCTGTGGGACGGGGCGAGGCTTGGGAGAGGGACTGAGGGAGAGGGGTAGATGCTGTCAGAAGAGGCCAGAGGCAGCAGCAAAGGGACCGGACTGCTCAGAGATTCACTGCAGGGGAGATCATGGGAAACAGATTAGCATGCAGATCGGAGAGTTGTTGTTCTTTTTAAAGCTAAAGAGAGTATAATGGTTTGAAAGACATGCTCTGAGAGATTTAGGAACATCAGCAAAACAAGATGTCCACTGCTCAAAGAAAAAGAAAAAGCACTTCAATTTAATTTAGACTTCACCAAGTACTATTATGTGTCCATTATAGCTACATTTTAACCCAGACTGACCTGATTGGTTTAGAGTAAAGGCTGCTTTGTGACTGAGAAACTACTGCAGTCTCTCTTATGGGTTCACTGCTGCAGTTCTCCGATTGGCTGAAGTCCGGCAGGGCAGATTCTGAACCAAAGTCCAGGGCACCAAACTGCACATTGAGACCAGACACATCTGCTGAGCCAGGCATCTCTACTGCAGACGCGGGGATCTGGATGTGCACAAAGACATGAATGTAAATACAGGCAGTACATGCTGATAAAACATCAGTTCAATTATTTTGACCATTGACATTATGACCCTCTTTTATGAGGTCATTAAGTTGTTTTACATTTTATTTAGCAAGAACTGGACTGGTCCAAAAAAACTGTTTCTTTAGCACCAAATAACCACATAAGAATGAGATTTAAAAATCATATTGGCTGAAAATTCAATAAAAGTATTATATTATTATTATTAGAAACATCTCTCAAAAAATGTCCAAAGACCGCCCGCACGCCCGCACGCACACACGGACACACACACACACCATATTTTAAACGGAAGTAAACAAAAAAATAATTATGTGATCCATCAAATAATATATACAATTTTTGGAAAAATAAACTAAACTAACGTAAAAATTCAAGCAATTTCCTAAAACAGGAGCAACTCATCTGTGCATTTTCTTCTCAATTACCTTGCTTTCTCCTTGACTATGTCATCGACGATTTTGCACAACACATTAAAGGGTCACGAAACGCCAAAACACATTTTTTAAAATTTTGACAGTCATATGTCCCACGCTGCTAAAATCACTATTAGGTCACATTTATTTCACAAAGAAGTGGTTGTTTTTGCATTATTCGAGCAAATTCGTTCCTCTGGTTCAAAAAGCAATTTAGAAGCTCCGTCACAGTGATGAGATCATTGTGTGAATTCCAGCCTGGAAATTAGATGTCTGTAGCAGCCGGTACAACGTGATGTCTTTGAGCTTTCATCATTAATCCAAGAGATAGATTTGATTCAAAACAATCAGCGCACTCTATTGTGAATGAGGTGCAAACTTCATTAATAGGCATGATGGCTTCAAAGACTGTTTTTAGCTGTTACAATATTTAGACATTAGAGAAACGCCAAAACCGCAATTAAAACAATTGGGAAAAAAAATAATTGTTTGGAGACATGGGTTGTCAGTGTTGCGTTCTTAAATGTGCTGCAATTAAGGTTTTGTTTTTAATTCCCGCTATGAGAATGCAGCTGGACTAATGTGTGGATAACAGTGGTCTGCTAACACGCAACAAAAAAATATGTTTGTAAGAATATTTTTTTTTACCCTAGAGCTTTTCACATCTAGAAATGGTAAAATCCGGATTTGCTGCTCGTCTCCTTTTAAAAAGGACGCATTTCCAGTTCATGTTGATTATCCTGTCTGTACTGATTTGGTAAGTGTGCGATGAGTGTTCTTTGTTTATGTTTATTCAGATGGCAAAATTAGTTTGTATCGTCAGCAGTACTCTAGTTTTTAAAGACAAAACCTGACTAAGTTTACAGTACGTTAATATCGCTACAATATCATGGACTAAAAGATCTGCTGTAAATGCTGCTCTTTGAATGTAAACATGTAAACACCTTAAACTATTACCGTCGTGTAGGATTTTTGCCGCATTTTGTGACAGGATCATCTATACACACAGCTTTTTGACGCTATCTAACAAGTGCATCTATGTTACTGAGAAATGCAAGCGTTTTTTTTCTCCCATTAGGCATGCGGTACCAAACATTCCAATAAAACAACACTCTTCCAGCAGTTCCGCGCATCCAATACCTCGATTGCAATGTAGGGCATGCATGAAATGTAACTGAATAAAAGTGAAAGTGCCAAACTGCAGTTAAAGTAGACAAATTAAGAATTTGCCAAATAATTCGATGACTGATGTTCATGTAAACATGGTCACTGTCTTTCTCCCCTGCATCTGTGTTTATTTTGCCTCTGTGAAAATCAGCGTGTGCTCAAACAGAAACTCTCCTTTTCATGCAAATCCTTCCCTCTTTCGCCACTCCACCCTAAACAAAGGTGGACTCACCCACTTTCCTGACCTTTTTTTAAACTAGAGGTGTGAAAACACCCTGCTGGGACAGGGGGGTTTCATGGCCCTTTAAGCTCTATCCCACAATCTTTTGGACTGAAAGTTTCAATGAACCCTGACAGTGCAAGTAAAATAGTTGAAGGTAATTTTATGTATGCTTATTTCATGTATGCTTAAATAGCATGGCCATCACACAATCTTACAGTGCATGTTTGTGTTTCAGATGTCGGGTCACCTTGGAAGTGGGAGGTATCCGTCGCTTTTGAGTCTTTATCTGCCGCTGCTGTGTGCTGCTGCCCTGAGAGTCGCCTGTCTGTGAGGGGGCCATCGAGGGCCCATCACGGTGCTGAGAAGGTTCTGGCGCTTTCGGAAAGGCTTCCAGTGTGCCCTGGGCAGTCGATGGGGTACTTAAAGGGGGAGGGCTGGGCTGCCTGGCAAGAGGCCCCGTGTGGGTCAGGGAGCTTTGCTGCCGCTGGGCGAGTTGGCTTAGCACCAAAGATGGCTCTGGCTGCATTTGAAACTCTCCTGCAGTGCACAAAGTGAAAATGTTTTGCATGCAGTGTAAAGAAGTTCAGAGAAATTAACTGATTATTTTAAAATGTATGAACTAAATTAAATGTGTTGATTTACACTTAAAAAAAAAATCAGTTTTCCTTCATTGTGTTATGATGAATGTCTTATCTCTGCATGTGTCTGTATTATTTTTTAGTTAGTTTGTATTTATTACTTTTATTATTTTTGCTATTATAATAATTAGCTTTTATTTTGTGATTTATAATGTGTGCTACTCATTGGCCGTTGATTAATTAATAACAATGTTAATAGGTTGTTTTCAATGACATGGTTCTTATGACACGCAAAATTCAGATGGAGGGCAGGAAGTAAACTTCTGAATGGGAGACAGGAAAATCAGAGGAAAAATCCGTATTTTTGTGATTTATACCATATTTCAAAGGAAGTATAAATAGAAAATAACCACATATGTTGGGCATGATCTTTATATCATGAAGAGGGGCGAGTTTTCGACTGAACTAAAATATATTTGCCTGTCATCGAGGCAGTAGCAATTACTTTAAAAATACTATAGTAAATACTAGAGTGTTTAGAAGCATACTATAGATAATTACTTGAATTTAACTATCATAGTATTTTTTTATTTTAGAGGGTTTCACCTTTATTTGATAAGACAGTAGAGAATTGACAGGAAAGCATGGGAGCAGAGAGAGGGAAAGCATTAGCATAGGACCACAAGGCGAAATCGAACTCGGGTCGCCGCGAGCACCAGAGTGCATGTGTCGACGCACTAACCACTACACCATTGGCGCGACACTATCATAGTAATTTTTAGTCTATAGTGTAGAATAGTAAGTTTTCTAAACTATGATCACAAAGCACCACAGTTTACACTAAGATTACAGTGTTTATTACAGTTGATCAGTTTACTATGCTACAGTATTCAGTAGTATTCATTAAAAAAAGAGTTGTACACATTATACACTTTACTATGTGGTTCAAAAACAAGTTTATTTTGAATTACTATAGTTTTTCCCCATGCAGATATCACCAGACATCACGAAATAGCAGATAGAAGCATACAAAAGTGTGAACACATAGTCTACATTTTTATTGATTTATTTTTGTAAGGGGGGAAAAAGTGTTCCGCAATAATAACTGTCTAGTTTTGTTGCAAGGGTTCCATTTCTTTTATGTTTTGTCGATGAACTTGCCATTAACAAACATTTACTGCTGCTGCTGCACATCTAGATGGTCACTTTACAGTTGGTTATTCTGCCGAAACACCAGTAAAGACTTGGGTTATCGCAAACAAGACAGAGATTTCATTGCAGCGATTGCATGGTAGGGTATGTTATGTGTGGTGGTTGTATCTAATTTTTAAATAATAAATATTTAATCACATAGCTAGACCTGCATATAATCTTCATTAGTGCTGTCAAACGAATTATCGCGTTCAAAAAAAGTTTGTACACATGGATGTATTGAATAAATGTTGATAACAGGCTGCCTTTTCTTCCGTTTTTTGCCAGTTTCTTGAACTTTACCCCCTTTATAAGCTAAAACTTTTGGAAGTCTATAAAAGCTGTACGGCATTTCTTATTTTGGCCGATTTAAACAATTATAAACAACATAAAACAGAAACATTTTGATGTTCTGATAGCAATTCCTATGTAGAAGAACCACTTCCTGCCCTCCATCTGAATTTCAAGAGTCATTAATGACTTCATGTGAAAGCAACCTAAAAACATCATTAAAAAATGAAAGTGTAGAAATCTTTAATGTGAACCACTTAGGTGTGTTCACTGCAGAGCAACAACGTTTCAAGTATGAACTAGTATAAAAGACCTGTAACACTCACGACTGAATTGGGAGGGGAGGGAAGTAGAGCTCTGTGTTCCAGGAGGTTTGATGTCCCAGGAGGAGGAGGGGACAGACATCCCCGTCCCCACCAGCCCCCCTACAGGGGTGCAGTTGGTCCCTGTGCTAGAGGGCTGGGAGGTAAGCTGCCCAAGACCAGGCCCCTTCAGCTGTTCCAGTATTTGCTGCCCAGCCGTCTGCCCGAGTTTTGGACCACCCAGCTCTCCAAAACCAGAACCCAAAACAGAGGACTGAAGAAATACACAAAAGCAAGGTGCCATCAGAAAACCCATTCAGATATCAATATACACACACTAGTGGCACACAACTAACTAGAAAGAAAAATTAAATAAAATAAAAAAACAGCATAGCAACAACATTCACATGGGTCACTGCGATTCATGCTGAAGAAAAGCAGCTCTGTATGTGCTATAAATCAGGCCTGTGGATCATCTCACCAGGGTGGCATGTGTGTAGCTGTTGGAGCCAGCAGGTGTGCCTCCGTTTCGAGCAGGCTGGTGGTGGGAGTTGGTGAAGACCAGACTGTGGCCAAGCCCCTGAGAGGAGCCCACGGCCTTGAGACCTCCCACCTCCTCTCGGTCCACAGGCTTCTGCAGCAGAGTTGACAGATCCAGGCTGCAACAAAACCCACAATACGGTCAGTTAAATAAGCACAAGGCATCATTATCAAGATGTATCTGCTGTAACAACCACATGATTGGAAATAAAGAATAGTTTTCTCAAAGTTTGCCTTTGCTGAACTCAGACTTATAAAATGAGAACAGAAGGGCTAAACGTATTACCTTTGGCCAGGTGTGATGTGGTTCTCAGTTGGAGGTGCACAAGAGGAAGTGAACACTTTGGTCTCAGAGAGCTTTGGAGATATATAAAAAGGGCCAGTTAGTGTTTTTATTTGGTGGTAGAAATTAGTGTTGACACGATACTGGAATTCGATACCAATCAGTACTGGAATTTTAAAAACTTTGTTAAGCACCTTAAAAACATCCTTTAGCACGTTCTTAAACAGCGCTGATTTGCCATTGTGTTCATGTTCTCAACAGAAATAACTGTGATTTGCCGTGAAGGTCATCAGTTTACTGAACTCACCGCTGTTTACTGAGTGTAACCACAGATATAGGGACACTGGAGTGTTTCAGTCACGTCGATCAGCTGGTTTGTCTATAAGCTGACATACAAGTGATCCGCTGATTAAGTGGCTTTAAATTGCTCAAGTGTCTCTGTATGGGTGGTTTCACTCAGTATACAGCAGTGAGCTCGGTGAATCGATGACATTCACGGCCAATCACAGACTTTTTTGTTGAGCATGTGAACACAATGGCAAATCAGGGCTGTTTAAGAGTGTGCTCCACAGCGCTTAAATGTTCACGGGAAATGGACTTTAAAATTTCAGTACTGATTGGTACCGAATTCCAGTATCGTGAAAACCCTAGTAGAAATACACTAAATGAACACAGTGATTATAGTTCAAAATAATACAAATAATTAAAAAAAATTCAATTAAATGATTATATTAAACTAATTTCAATTCAAGTAATTCACAATAATTGTTTCAAAGTAGCTTTACAAAACATGCACATTACTTTATAACAATAATCAAAATCTTAAAAGTTAAGGTTATTGGTTACCAAAATTTTATTAATCACTAAAAACGTTAACTAATAACTAATAGCTTTTGACAGTTAAAGTTAATATAAGCATAGTTATAGTTGTTTTCCTTGAACAGGGGTCTCAAACTGCCGGCCTGCCCTACTCCTCTCTACAGCCCGCATCTGACATCAAAATTATAACAAGATTTAACCCGGCAAAACAAGTATTGTTGAACCTTTACCATTGTTGTGCAGTCGTGTCTAGCCACTTATGGTTTTGACCCGCCACCTATTAAAGTCCTGCATTTAGATTAGTTTTATTTTCCTTTTCACTCAGTGTACGGTCGAGAGTAACACACATGCGTTTTATTTCTGTGGCTGATTTAAATGTTAAAATATTTATCGGCTTTATTTTGTCAAAAGCTCTATCTTTGTAAATATTCAAGGTTCGTTTGATTATTACCAGTTTTATAACACTTGTATTTTGCTGTATATACACCTCTTCATGGCTTACACGTTATGTTGGTGGTGTTAATATAATAATTTTGCTAACATTCAATTCAAATGGTCTCTAATAGATTTTCCTCATGTGCTTATTAAGATTTGCATTAAAATTATTTACATTAGTAAAATTGTAATGCTGGTTGAATTGAAGTAATGTAAACATGTACATACTTTTACCCTTTTACTTGTAAATAAAGATACTGAAAGAACAATTTGCAGTAAAGTCACTTAAGTTAACCAAACTGCTTTTTGCTGCTATTGGGACAATGCAATTGGTTGGGACAGAATAACAATTATTCTGCCTATTATTTGTAGTATTTTCAAAGCAATTTAAACTACTCCATCAATATATACAACAAAAAACTAAAAGCTCGAGTTTTGACTCCATATACTCTGGAAGAATGACTGACTGAGTGTGTGTCCAACGCTTGGCCATACAAACAACAACCACAGATATATTTCAGCAGCTGATGTGTGACACGATAAACATGCTGATTTGCATTATCACTGGTGACAGGTAATGCTTGGAAAATAAACGTCATGTCTGTTGTCCTAAGATGCATCAATTATGCCACATTTCCACTTTTTTCTTGTGACTCGAATGTTAAAATGGCCCTCCTATGAATTGTCAGTCACTGAAATGGCCCCCCGTCAATTTGAGTTTGAGACCCTGTCCTTGAATATTAAAAAAATATTTCAATTCAATAAAATATTTATTATTTGTTTACTATAGTATGAACTTTTCTCATATATGTATAAACCATGTCTTTTCAGGCTTATTAATTTCAAGCTCGGCAAATCCCATAATGCACAGGAGGTTAATAATAGAGCATGACTCACACTCACATCTTCACTCCAGTCTTCAGCTGCCCACTCGTCCAGAGTGTTCTGCCATGCCACTGAACAGAATGTGTCAGAAAAAGAAAAGAGATGAGAGCGGGCCAAAGGATTGTGGGGAAATAAGCTGTAGTTAATAAAGCCGCATCTCACCTGTCCCATCTGTAGTGTCATTGGCCCCTGTCTCCCACACATCAGCATGTGAGTTTGATGTCCCACTGTCTGTGGTGTAGTCTGCAGGGTTAAAGGTCCTGGAAAAGAACAAACAGAGATCTTAGGTGGCTGTTGCATGAGATTGACAACTGCTTCTTGGTTATAACAACACAAAAAAAAGAATTCTCACCCCATGCCCTGTGCTGTAAACCTGCTGGTAGCCGGAGCCCGACCTCTGCCTCGACCTCCAGACACTGAGGAACGAGACAAAATCAAATATCATGAGCTCTAGATTGACCTATGAGTTCTTACAAGTTGACCAATGGTTATATTTTTTCAAAGTATTGCATCTTGAAGATCTTTAGAGCTTCAATAGAGAAGATGTGACTACTCGGAGAAGGTTTTAATGCAGTGTTGACAGCCTATAGCTGCTTTAACTGTCAGGCTGTTAGTGGGCTAAAAGCTAATTCATCTCCTTTAAAGCACCAGCACTACTGACATCAAAGCACTGTGTTCAGCAATAAAACAACAGTGACTGTTAGATGTCAAATCAACTGATTTGAGTAACATTCTCCTTTCAGTTTAAAACACTTGTTTAGTCTAGGTTGTCAGTCACCCTATTGTAAAAAAACAACAACATCATCATCTAATCGTGTCTAATGGACAAAATCATATTTACTCTGGCAATCACTAATACAGAAGATACAAATGATAGAATTTCCAAGTGTAATTGCTGCTAATAAAGTCAACTGATGTGAAAGACAGAGACATGTTTACATTGAGTGTGTGTTTACCTCTCCCTCTTCCCCTACGCCCTCGGTCAGCACCTCTCTCAACAGGAGCAGGGTCCACACCATTCTCTTCAGTCCTTGCTATATAAATAACAAGAGATCACGAATGAGCCTTTCAGAACCTACTCACACATATGAATGCAGCGATTATAGATTTTGGTTGTATGATTACAGTCGGAGAAATATCACGGTTATTATGAATTTTATGCATTCATTCATTTTAAAACACTTCTAGTTTAGTAAATCAGTGTTTTTTTATTGCATCTTTTTATTAACATTTAAACTATTAATCACAAAACACATTGAAACACACCAACAGACAATGCCCATTTTAACAATGCAAAGCTAAAGAAAATAATTAATTAATTAATTAGCAGAATACGTAGATACATGCATAATAAAGTTACAATAAATAAATAATAGCATAATAGCAATGATAATAATAAGAAAATTAATAAAGAAAAAAAAAAGAAAAAAAACATATAAAGATAAAATAATAATGAAATAAAATATATAAATTTAATTATGACATTCCATAACTGAAAATGCAGCTTAAAGAAACATCCATAAGGTCTAAGTAGTAAGGAGTCCAGACTTGATGAAAAGCCTCAGTGGACATATGAATGACACAGGTAAAAAATTCTAAAGGAATTATTTCCCTAATAATATTGCGCCAAATCACAGTGTTTTTTATTGTGGCTCAGTAACTAAATAATAAAGCATAATATAATAATAAAAAACAAACAATAGTTCATTTCTTCTCTGACTTACAAATAAGTTTAAAAAGGTTTTTGTCATTTAACCACGAGTAATAACTTTACACTGAAAATAAATGAAAAAACAATGAATAAAAAAACTAATAAATAAGAATAAATAAAAATTGTATTTGTCTAATGTAAATGTAAGCTACATATTAGCTAGGGCTGCACAATATATCGTTTTAGCATCGATAATCAAAATGTGATCATTCGCAATAGTCACATTGTGAGTATCCGCAATGCTGAATTTGTGTGTGTGAATGTGTGAGGGTTTAAACCAATGACTGTAAAAAATATGGACGACGCGACAGCCCCTTTTCCCATTGAACGCCTTGAGGGCAAAACGCCTGCTTGAGGGGCACAAACTGTCACAAAAGACTGCTGAAATTGGAGCCTTGACATGCGCAGAAGGACTGTCTGATGGAGCCAGAGGAGGAGCTGCGAAAATGAGCGGAGTCGAGCTTCCAACCAAAAGCTTTATGTAAAATCAACCACGCCCCCCGAACTTCTCAGCATGCGTTTGCTGTCATATCAACACAAATGGATGTAATAACGTTAACAAATATGAGGGTTTTATATATTAATTCGCGCCAGCTCCGGGCCGCAGCGCAACTCGCGGCGTCGCGGGCTGATTCCGGCTCGCATGCTGCAGTGCCGGCTCGCTCGGCCGCCGCATCTGGCTCGATTGACTCGGGCTGGAATCGGGCAGTGAGTCCAGGCATCCGGAGTAGGTCCAGCAGAGGTAGTCAGTCTGAGCTCTGAGGGGTAAGTCTCCGGCAGGCGAGAATCTAGCTGGAACTGGACCGAGTGTATTTTGCTATCTGGGTGGCTAGGCGTACGTGTATCAGCAAACTAATAAAGCCCGAAAAAAGCCCTGACCTTAGCGAGTAAACAGTGTTCCACCAGTATCATGTATGACAGAAACTATAGTTTACTGCTGAACTCATTTTGTCATGGTAAAATAACACAGAAATCGAATAATAACACTTCAGTCTTCTGCCGAAGCTCAGACGGTCTGCTTTGAGAAACTCTCAATCACAGCTGTCAATCACGATGACACGCCCAGCATTAAATTACTGCTAAAAACAAACTGTTTACAAAAATGAAGATCTGCACCTATTTCAGCACAATAACCAGTGCCTTAATCGACCAGAACCGTCTTTCGGGACATTTTATTGCAAGTGTAATAATTTTTTTTATTTGGGCTCAAGTCTCCTTCATTAACACGGAGGAGGCGGGCTTTATGACTTGTACTGCAGCCAGCCCCCAGGGGGCGATCTAACGGCCGAGACCTTCACTCAAACGCAGGCTTGCGGCACACTTGATTTAAACATATTCAAACATGTGGAATTGTACCGTTTGTAACTTTGCCAAATTAATAATAAATAATTTTATTGAGTTATTAAATGAAGACTATAAGGTATTATTATACATTTGATTGTTCAATTACTCTATACCTGAATACAGTTCGACTGTTTATTTAATTGGTATCTTTTTCTTTATCAAATTGATCTATGCTTGTAGAATATTTTATGCACTCCCTTACAGAATCATCCCAATCCATCTAAAATTATAAATTCTTTCCAAATAGTTATTCAAAAAATCTAGCAAATTTGTATTTACATTATAATATTTTATTCTGCATATATGGCAGAATAAAAAAAAGCGCCATGTTACATTTCTCCAAAATCATGCATCCCTAATATTAGCTAAGTATTTTCCTTTTAAAGAGAACAAATGGAGTCAAAGTAGGCACTTCTGAACTTGTTTGGTATTTTTATTTTGTATTATTTTCTTCTCTTTGAACTAGAAATGTGTATATTTCATACAAAGTGTGAAGCTGATCGGTCATTTCTTGTCACATGACAATAAGCTCACAAAAAAATAACAAACTTGCATGCGCAAAAGAAGCACCATGTGAACGGCCCTTGGTTAATAGCCCCAGCCATAGTTAATCCAGTGCATATTAGCCTCCATGTACAAGCTTGAAACTAGCACACAGTTGCTTAACTTTGTTTAGATGCAGCAGTTTTGTTCCGTGCAGAACCGCAATGTTGAGAAGCCTTTACGATTACTTAACCATGAGAAATTAAAGTGCGGTTAATCGTGCAATCGTTTAATTGTTGCATCCACACTCACAGAACAAGAGGGGGAAAAAAAGTCCTACAAATAGATTAGGGCTGTGCGATTAATCGAATTGCAATTTGAAACATATTAGCTAATTGCAAGAGGCTGTGATATAAAATGTATATTAATATTAATATATATAATAACTTCCCCCACCCAGGGCAAATGCATGACTGCCGTCTGTGTGTGACAGTCTTACTAGCCAATTGAGTGAGCACACTTTTGTTCTGCCCAATCAGAATTGCTCAACCAAACTATACGGAAAGCCCACAATAAAAAACAAACAAACAGAAAAGCGCGATGATGCGTGGGATGATGGAATCTGCCGTTTCAGAAGCGTTAATAGACTAATTAATATAAAAGAAAAACAGCACGTCAGTAATATGGGAATATCTTGGTGTCAGTCACAGACACCAAACAAAACCAGGTCATTTATAAGAGCTGTCGCAGAATTAAGGCCAACTCTAGGAAATTATTTGATGATTTGAAGTTATTATTATAATTTTTAATTTTAATGAATTATTATTTAATTATTTGATGCAAAAACCCACACGGTAGTGTCAGCGAAAGTATATAACACATGTGAAATGGTTAACTCATAAAAAATGGGTCTAGCACACATAAAAACAATCTGAAAAAAATAATTCCTTCATGCAAATTCATGGCTGTGACCAGGTTTTGGGTCAGGGAAATGGCTGTGTAAATAAAAGAAAATAGGTCACAAGCACAGGTGGTGGTGAAAAAAAAACTACACTTTAGCATTGCCTGAAAATTACTGCTGAATATAAGCAAAACTACTATGCAAACACAAAAAAAATAAAAATAAAACTAACAATAAATAAATCACACACCAACACACTCACCAGGCCTGTTGCGACTGGTCCCTCGGCCCCGGCGGCTCGGCCCTCCACGACCCTTGCTGCTTTCCCTCTCTTTCTTCTCCCTATTTTCCTTGTTTTCCTTACTCTCAGACGAGGGTCCATCCTTCCCGATACTTTTCTTTTTCCCCACCGTTTCCCAAGAGGTCTACAAGACAATCGAGAGATGAGCTACCTAAAATGCTCATCTACCTACCTAAAATAAGATAATACACCAGGTGTTGGGTATCGATGTTTTACAAAAAGGATTTCAAAACAGGTTTGCTAATCATCACCACTGAACCCTCATTACAAACAAAGGACATTTAGGAGCCCGTATCGTGACAGAGGTCTGTTATAACAGCGGATTACCTTCTGATCAACACTACAGAAGTGACCCAGTTTCTATTTCGGAGTTTCATTCCCAGAAATCATTCTAACAAATCCCAGTCTATAAGCAGAGGCCTCTCGAATATCACTACAACAATAGTAACAAGACGCTTTATCTCTGAAGCAGATTAGTGTTAATCACATTCGAATCTGGACATTAAACGCTGTGGTATGTTCCTTGTTAAGCTGAAAACAACACAAATCATAAAGTCAGGCTTGCTTTGCCACGAAGCAGCTGACATTAGCAACAGCATTTATGATACAAACCATTTCTACTTCCTCTTTTAAATAACTTATCATGAGTTACAGTGCCTGCTAAGTAGTCTAGACCACAGGTGCATCAGTTAAATGTGACTTTTACCGCATCAGATGTTCCCTCGAGCAGGAAGTTGATGGCTCTGTTGACGTCCTCATTACAGTCGTGAAGAGCAACCATGCAATCGTCTTGGTTCTTCCCTGTAACCTCCATTAACTGCGAGCAAATATGAACATCGCTGGGGTTAATAGAAGAGATTAAATGTAATTTTACTAGGACCGAAGAGAGCTTCTTGTACCTGTTTCACTTTGTCCTCGAAATCTGCATCGTTCTTGTCATAGATCATCTGGGCCAGACGGATCTGTTCGGCTGTAGCCTGCAATATAAGAAAACATTATGAATATCGGAATGAGCCGTATTCATTTTTAACAATAATATGGTAATTGTGTGAACTGCCAGTATTAAAATAGATAAACACCCCTAGTACAGATGTCTAGTCTAGATAAAGGACTTAAAACAACAAGTTATGGCTAAACAAGCAAGATTGTTTTAAATATCAGCACATGAATGCAATCGCAAATGTGATATTGATTTTATACAACGGAGCTGGAGCGAAACATGTGCTTCGAATGCTTTGTACACACTGTGGTGTTTTGTTCCTGGACTAATCGTTTCTAACTCAGTGGGTTGGGATATGTTTCAATGATCCATTCATAAAGACACTGTGTCTTGGTGTTAAGCAGGATTTATACTTTCGCCTGGCTCTGCTGCGCAATACCCTGCTGACTGCATGCACACAGCCACAAGATGCCGAGGCTTTCATACTTGACGCACTCACAATTGTACCATTATATGTATCAACTCAGAGTAATTGTCATGACAAAGCAGTAGTGAAGAAGTTGAATGAATGCATTTAATCATCTTTAATCTGAATAGGTTGTAGGGAAATTTAGAGTGCACTGGTAAAAATTTGAGCTTTTGGTATAGTTGGGGTTAATTTAGGTTGCAATCTATATATTTAAGCTAACTACAAGCTTAATGCCAAATTTCATATAAGATAAAAATATATATATATAACAATTTACTTAGATTTAGACAACCTGTGCGCAAAATATACATTTCGTTTCTCCTCAAAAGCGGTTAAAAGCTCGTCACCCAGCTTGGCCAGACTAAGCTCAAAGTCATGGATCTTCGGATGCAGAGTCGTATGAGATGCTAAAAAAAAAGTGCTGTGTATACCATCAGCTAAACTGAGGACGCACGCACTCAAAGTGAACTTCCGCCAATGCTGTGTTGACATCATATTTCTTGTCTCCACCCAATCAAACTTGCAAAACATCAAGTATAAACAAAGACTGTAGAATACGCAAGACGAGTCACTCATATAGTTTTGAATAGGGAAAAGTGTAACGGTTAATATGTGGAATGAAGCCCCTCCTACTGGTACCGGAGCCAATCATCGATCGCTATAGACTGATGGAGATGCTCGGACAAAACGTGTGCTTGTACCACAGTTTGTTGGTGAACAAACACACTGGAATCTTAGTAAATACTTGCTTCACAGACATAATAAATATATCCCCATAAAGCTTGGAATATGTGATTTTAAATGAACCAAGTGCACTAAAAAACAAAAGTTTTCTGGTTTTGTAATCTGTATAAAACGAACGCGAGGTACAGTGAGTCCTGTCAAATGCACATCACATGACAGCAATTACTCAAACGGCCACAAACTTGTAAACTAAGAGTCATTTTTGTTTCTGGAGGAGATTCGCCATCAAGAACAAGCTGTCAATTACTTCAGAAGAGCAGCGCGATCAGACAAACCATTATTCAGAGGATGATAATGTGTAGAACGGCCATAAATGAGGTGACTCGAGAGCGCATGCGCATTAGCAATCTGAAAATATGTTGATTTTGTTTTATTCAAACGTTTCGAAATGAAACTTATAAGACGATTGTTGTTTAATTTTTTTGGTGGTTCTAAATATATAATGCAATCGTTAGCTTGGCAAACACTTTTGTTGAATTTGATGTTTCCACATTCAGACAGAATGCTCGAGCATATTGCCCGAAAGACTTTTCAAAGATGGCCACCGAGTGAAATGCCTTGCCTTAAAGGGTGTAAATCAGCCTTTAGGTGTCTTGTCTTAAAGCAGCACTGTGCAGACTGATCATTGTATGACATTAAAGCAGTTTAAAAGCATGTGGAGAAGTTTACAATCTAATCTTCTCTGATCTCTATGATGACATACACCGATTAGACTGTGCAAAAACATTTCAAGTTAAACACACTAACATGTTTGGTTTCTAAATGAATCAGTATTTTTGAACAAACCATTTAAATAAACAATTTTTTTTGTGATTATTTTTTTCCGGGTTTTCACCTTTAATAGACAGGATGGTGGAGATTACAGACATGAATGCGTGAGGAGCAGAGAGAGGGGAAAGGATTAGAAAAGGACATTGAGTCAGGAATCGAGCTCAGGTCGCGGTGAGCACCTTAGTACTGTGTGTTGATGCTATAACCACAGCACTAAACCAGTAGGCTACAGGTGGCGACTTGAATGAATGATTTTATGAATCCTCATTAGGACAAGAAGCTCTGACCACCTACTGGCCTATTTAGAGACTTGTTTATTTATCAGTGACTAAATCAGCTAGCACATAAGCAATTACTGTCATTGGAAAATACAAAAATATGAAGATGTCATTTGAGTTTAGAGCGTGTGTGAATTTCATGCATCCCCCAGAGTATAATTTGCTACAAGCCTACTGTGCAGTATATACAGTAAACGGCCTTCTACCTTTATAGACAACATGTGACATTATGCAACAAAAAACATTTCAAACAGCACAAATTTTTTCAACAAGACATCATTACTTGGACTAGAGTTATCTCTGTAATTAAAATCGAATATCACGTTTAAAAAATTAACAGCTATAAAACAAATATGGTACATACTTAGCTTGTTGTTTACAAAGCATTGCAATTATTTCGTTATATAAACAAATAGTGACTAATCTACAGACTAATCAATTTGTGGAGATGACTAATCTATCTTGGATTTTTTTTTATTTACATGCCTTGTTATTTCAGTATTTTTTAATTAGCAGACATGCAGCATGTTCCCACTTATAAAGTTCATGCCTTTTTAAAGCAAAACACATGTCTTGCTGGGTTTTTCGAGCCTCCCATCACGTATAGAAGTTTGGCTTAGCACCACATCAAACTGTTTCCCAATGCGCTCTGTTAAGCTGTTATTTAATGCAACAGAGTCTTATGTAAATGCAGCCTGCGGAAATGAGAAGGTCAAGTCTAACATACTGCATCCCATACAATATCCAGAAGAGTACGGTCAGGAAGGAGAAACAGTAACAGCTTTATGTTATTCTCCTAACTTGGCATACGCTTCCATATGATGTTGTTTACTCACCTGAAGCTGTTTCTGTGGTTGTGTGGTCTGTGTGGTAGTGGGCAGCGCTTTGTCCCGAGTGCCCCGGGCTCGTTCGACGCCCACTGAGCTCATCATATACAGTATATACAAAACAATGTATGTACAAAACAGAAAAATCTGGAAGGAAAAAGAACAAGGGCAGAAAAAAAAAAAAAAAAAAAAACAGGAAGCGGTTATTATTCGGAAAACACTTCCATGTCCTAGTTTCTAATCCAAATATTTTGCAGACATCAGAAGAGGTTTTGTTCTAGCAAGCTAGCTGACGTTTTCTGCAGATCTTCTCTACAGTGTCCCGCGCAGCGTCAGGCAAACACACAGGGGCCGTATCGGATTTCCTTTCTCCTAAACCCAGTTGGGCAAGATTGAGCAATACTCTGACCGCCAGAAACCCTTGTAGAAAAAACAACAATCGAGCTGATCCCAGCCCTGCTGAAATGAAGACCATGCTACGAGACCACACTGGTGTCCGTTAACACTTCACAACTACCCTGTAGTGTCCTTCTGCACGCAGATCTCACCGTATCGCCATTCCTCACGCATACAAAATGACAACTCATTCCACGGGGATAAAAACACGAAGGAATCTAGATTCCTGAACATAAGCAAAGCTACTGAAGCATGCATTGATCAACAAAACATCTCAAATGCAATATAAACATCTTTGTTATATCCATTTTCTTACGGTGCTAGATTGTTAGTCCTCCTGGTGAGCGGAATTTTATTAATCATGAAAGGAAATTATATAACTTAAGATGACAAAATATGGACAGTTAATCCCTCAAATGAAAATATCCTCTGTAATCAATGACTTGTTTGTTTCAAAACAGTCCCGAGTGATTTTCTTTGTACTGAAGACTGATAAAAGCTTTCCATTTAGGGAGGAAAACATCTATATTTCATGTTCTGAATTTTAAGCACATTAAATTAAGGCATACGATAGCTCAATTTAAAGAAAAGGTCAATCCATATACAATCAAATACTAAGGATTGTTTTTCTTCTGAACACCATATTTTATTACTTCAGGAATCAGGAGTGATAAAGGCATGTCTTGTTCTGTGTAAATACAATGCTCATCATATACGAGCACACCCCTCACAAATCTATCGTTTAAATTGATATTTTTAATAGGAAGCTATACAATAATAAATTTGTGCATTTACATTAGATTAGTCAGTACTGAAGCCAAATCTGGAGCTTATCTTACAAAATAACCTACAATAACAGTCCAAAAAGTAGTACAAACAAATGTATATGTTACAGAAAAAAATAAATACAAATAAAAAAATTAAAAAAAGAGGAAAATTTAGAAGCAGCAAAAAAAAATAAATAAATAAATTGGTTGAAATTTTGTAGGGGGTAATTTTATTTGCACCATTTTGCTTGAATTTATTTTTAATATCTTTCAATTTCTAAATACGTTTGGTGTCTAAATTATTATTTTAATAAATACATCTGTTTAATAAATCTGTTTCGTTTAAATGCACTAAAATACAGTGCCTATATTCACTGAGAAATGGATACAAATATTAATTTTCAAAATGTGGTGTACTCAATTATGCTGAGCACTGTACAATCAAACACGAAGAACTGTTTTTTTTTTTTTTTGTACTGGCCCATTAATATTTTATCTTGCTGAATGAAGTTGCTATTTAAAGGGTTCAGATACAAAAACCTCTAAGTGCCGTCTGAAATTTCCATCGAAAATTAGCATTTTTCTCAGCCTCCTTAAGCTATTGAAGGTGCAGCCCTATAACATAGGGTTATATATGGGGTAACATTAAGGGTATTACGATCCTCCAAATCCTCGATTCGATAACATTTTTCGATTTTAAAGTCACGGTTCGATACAATTCTCGATTTAAAATAGAAAAATTTGAAAGCACAAGCTATGTCATTTTAAGACTTTTATGCAATATAGTAATATCTGACCTTTGTGCGCCGTGACAGTCATGAAGCTCTGTGTTGCTCTGAAGGTCCAGCAATCTGTAGTCAAGGCTACTAAATGTGCACTGCAAAGACCTTCAATAACTTTCTCCTTCACATTATTGTACATGGAGGGTATCACCATAGATGGAAGATGCGTTTCACTTGGGATTTCGTAGCGCGGTCCTAGCACGTTAATTAAATGCTTAAAACCGGAGCTTTCTACCACTGAGTAAGGTCGCATGTCCGTGGCTAAATATATAAATATATTCCCACCGCGCTGGTAATTGCCTTTGCACGTGTTAAGTTACTTGGAAGTTTTATTCCAAATGAAGATGGGAGAGTAGTTTGCGTTACACTTGTCAGTTTAACGGATAAATCTATGTTTTTGTGGTGCCTGCGGAGATGCCCTGCCATCGTGCTGCCGGTGGAATAATGTTGTAGCTATACGTAAATAGCAGAGCTTGCAAACTGTGTTTTTTGTCAACAACACAAACATGGTCAACAGAACTCACTGGAAATCCAAAATACTTCCACACCGGCCACTTCAGTGAAAGAAGAGGGGGTTCAAGTTCTGTCGGCGGGTCCCTTGCGTCTGCCATTTCCATGCTACCTTTTGGCTGTTTGTTGTAGTTGTTAGGTTGACTCGCAGTAATTCAACAAGCATGTTTTTTTACTTGGCAATTATATTTTTTGATTCGATTATCGAGACTGAGCATGAAATTCGAAAATCGAAATCGTGACACTCTTAGGTAACATAGGGTTGTATTTAATATAGGGTAACATAGGGTTGTACTTGTGCCACGACTAATATGCTAATAAGTGTTGTAAGTTTTCTATTTTTTTTAAGTTATTAGTTATTAGATCAGAGATGGCAAAAGTCTTAAAACAGTTGAGTCTTGTCCTACCCACATACAATGGTTCCAACACTCTTATTGAATTTAATTACACTAATTTAGTTATTAAGAGATAATTACTGCTATTTTAAGAGGCACAAATACTATTATAATATACTTTTAATGTGAATTTAAAAGGGCGGATGGTTGTTACTGCAGTACATGGTCTTTATTTATGTTCAATGCAAGTAAAAAGCATTTAACTTCTAAAACTTCTGCTTTTGTGTAGCAAGGAAACTAATTAAATGGTTTTGTAAACATTTTTTGGGTTAGCTGTTCCTTAAAAAAAGAAGACAAAAATATTAGATGACTTTCAAATCAAATCCTCCTCTTTAAACACCACAACAGATCAGATTCATCAGTTCCAAGAAACTAAGAAAAAGTCAGCGCTTGCACAGAAAATGAGCCGACACACATAACATCTGTGATGGATACAGTGGGCTTTTCTTGGCTGTTAGAAGAGATCTTATTGTGCAAGTTTAACCCAACCCTTCCTCACAGCAAAACGCCCAACAAGAGCGTTCCAGCTAGATTCTGATGTATGGAGATCATCATCAGGCAAAAAAAAATTCCCAGCTTGCTATATGGATCATAAAGATCTTACTTGAGTGAGTCATGCTGTGCAAATGCTGCTGGTCGCAAATGATTTAATGATGACTGTTTGCAAAACAGCCCACAAAAGTGATTTCACCAGCTGACAATGGTCTCATGTGGGGATCCTTACATTTGAGATCCTTACAAAACAGAAAAAAAAAGCTTCTCTTGGTCAGCAGACCACTCTTAGTGTCCTTGAATTTAAAGATAGTGTGTGTGTGATTAAATTAATAATAAAAGCTACAACAAATAAAACACACAATAGTGTAAAAGATAATTCAAATTAAATTGAGCAAGAGCTGCCAAAAAATATGAAATCTATAAAAAGGGATATTCTAATGTAAAAACCATACATTCAAGTTTTTGGTGTCAAGAGGTGCTGAGGATAAATGATCCTAGAATTGTAAAGTGAATTAAAGAAATAGCGTCGTATATGTCAATGGAAAAGATCACATACATTGTCAAAAAGAAACTAAATGTGTTCAAAGATATCTGGAAACCTTTTAATAACTTCCTAATGTACAATGTAAATGTTGGCACTGCCTGCTACAACACAAAGCTCTGAGGGAGTAGGGTAGTATTATGGTCTAAACATAGACTTGGGAAAGACTCTTTACCTGATTTAAACATAGTGAACACAGTGTTGTGGATGAGAATAGATGTTTACTGGGTCAGTTTAACTACTCTAGACTATATAATGCTGAATACAAGAGTTGAATCTGATAATGACAAATGTCTCATTTTACCAGTGAAAAAAATGACTTAATAATGTTGTCAAAGACAAATGACCAGCATATGTCTCAAACACAAAATCTCAACTTCATAATTATGAATAACTGTATTCTGATGTCATTACTTTACTGTAAATTAACAACCAGGACAAATTTAAAGTCTGTTTCAAGTCCACCATTCAAGTCTATACAAAATGTATCATTTTATTTTTTATCCAACAATAGACCTACAGATAGACTGAATTGTTGTTGTTTTACCACATGCTTGAGAACTATTAATAGACTACTCATATTAGCCTTTATTTTATATCTACAGAATTGTGAGAAAATTGTGATAATTTTTTTATTTTTTATTTTTGCCAGAATCGTGCAGCCCTAATATAGAGTGGCTCTTGCTAATACAGTGAGAAATTTACGAAGCAAAATGTTTGTAAGAAACCGAACATTATTACCTTTAACACACATCATCTGCATTTATGTGCGAGTTTGCTGTCGCACAATAACACATGCAAGGTTGTAAACTCACATGAGCAAACATGGGGCGATAACCGTTTTCAAACATGGTTTGGAAAAGTCAAGGTTTTAAAACCGTCAAAATTTTCTGTAATACCGTTCCTAGAGTATGTGTAAGATTTTTAATTTACACTTTTTATCTTCCGTTTTATAGGACAACAGTATCTCCAGCAGAAAATATATCCAAAGATGCCATTTAAAATTGTTAAGAAACCTGTGTTTTTGAAACTAATGAAGACAGCAGAAGTCAATGATTCATTTTCATTAATCAGCCTGACATGTTTACTGCCCCAAAATATTTTTAATCTTTCAAAAATTAAAATATATTGTTTTAAATGGGGAAAAATGTGTTGTTTTTCGCCCAGACATTTAAAAAGAATATATTTTAGAGGAGTAATCACAATATTATGACATTGTGAAACCGTGAGATTTTTTATCCAATGTTATCATACCAACAGAATTCCATATCGGCCCATGCCTAACATGTGCAAGCTTGTAAACTCACATATAAGCTGATGCTTATTGTATAAAAGCTATACAGATTATAAGACATATATGTTTAATTATACGCACAAATAAATCATTTGCCTTCATAAGACCTCAATGTATCTTCAGAAGCCACTCGTATTAATTGTGTTTGCCTTATATGTTTTTTTAAATTTAAAACGTCAATTAGCTATTAAATGATCAAGTAAGCATACTGACTAATCTTAAATATCTACAAAAACAAAAAATGTTTGGTAAACGCCTGATCCTTCACTAAAATAAACAACCTGGTTTTCCATTTAATAAACATGCTCCATATTTATGTGTGAGTTTGCAGTCGCACATTAACATATGCAAAGTTGTAAAGTCACATATGAGCTGATTATATAAGTCATATACAGATTATAATACATATATGTTCTATTATATGCACAAACCAATTAATTTGCTTTCATAAGACCTCAATGTATCATCAGAAGCCACTCAAATTGTGTTTTGCCTATATATGTTTTTTTTTATTATTCTAAAACGTCAAGTAGCTATTAAATGATCAAGTTAGCATACTGACCAATCTCAAATACCTACAAAAACAAAATGTTTAATAAACGACTGATCCTTCATAGAAATAAACAACCTGGTTTTAGCTTTAATAAACATGCTCCACATTTATTACAATAACATATACAAGGTTATAAACTCACATATTAGCTAGTTATACAAGATATATACAGATTAAAATAAAAAATGTTTCATTATAAGCACAAACCAATAATTTGCTTTCATAAGACCTCAACCATTTAATCATCATAAGCCACTGGTAGTATTAGTGTTTGCCTATATTTGTTTGTTTTTTTACTCTAAAACGTCAAGTAGCTATTAAATGATCGAGTAAACACGGTGACAAATCTCAAATACCTACAAAAACAAAAAGAGGTCGAATTTCTGACTGATTCTTCACTAAAATAAACAATCTAGTTCGTCTTTTTCCCTGTTCGAAGCGCAGTGAAATCAAATCACAAAGGTAAACAACTGCCAAAAATATGCGAGAGATATTTATACGTTCATTAAACAAAACGTGATGGCTCAATCAAATACACATCATATACCCACAACCAAAACATATGCCCAAACAACGCAGTCTGCCATCTGAGTAATTACAAACACGATCTAACGTTATACGCTTAAAAACAAACCGGGTTCACAATCATAACAACGCTACGTGACGTGATGCCTTAAACAAAGAGAATTTAGATCAAGAAGCGGAGTCAGCATCCCTACTTTATCTTTACAGATCCGTTAAGGATGTTCGGACACATTCAAGCTACTCAAAGATGCTTATGGACCTGATAAATGTGTGAAATCGGAGTTGCTAAAGAGCATAAGCGCAGAGACTCTCGGCTCTCCTTTGTCCATGATCTCTAATGTCATTTCCTCTCACCAATTGTTGTAGCTTAGCTGGCTAACTCGCGACCGCCCGGCGTCCTTGTTCAAAACATTTAAAGCCTAAAGAGTATTCAAACACCAAGATGTACACCAATGTGTTGATTTAATGCGAGAAAACCCGGTTGGACGAGGATGCGGGTTTGTTGTGAAGGGATATTTAAGGGAAAACGGTCTCACACAGAGCTAAAGCCGAATAAGCTAAACTGAAGAGGCAAAACAAAGCCATTTAAAAGACAACATAACCTCAAAAAACATTCAGCGGCGGATTAAAACAGACGAGCGACAGAGAAAAAGACATGTTAACTACATAACACTTGATATGGAAGGACAAGAAACAGTCTGAAATAGAGATTTGT